TTCCCCATATATTTCACTTGAGTGCCGTTTACCTGGCAGTGCGAGTTCGATTCCTAAACACGGCCAACAGCAGTAGCGAGCGATATCCGAACTGGTCCTGTGCCGACGTTACCAGCAACCTCTATAACCGACATGGCTTGGTGAGGCCTTCATCCAGCAGTGGATTAATCAGGGGCTCTAACGTATAAAATGTGTAAGCACAGGCGCAGATGCATATGCATGTACGTGTACCACAGCATATATAATATGGGTGATTTTTATTTCTCTCAATGTATAAAGGAGCTTGTTTTAATGGCACATTTTTATTGAATGAGTGCATAATGTGCAGAATGAGTGAATTGTAGTTCTGCAGCAAATTGCATTGAGTGAAAATGTGATTCAATTATTTTTGAAAACGATCTAGAACATTGGTTAATCTTGCGGTCTTTAATTTTTCAACTATAAGCATTTATACAAGTGGGACTATATAAGTTACATAACTTTATTTGAGACGATTAAAACTAGTGTTGCATGCATGTGCTCGCAATGTGTACGTGTCCCGTTCTAATAACAGTTAAACGTTAACCTGAAACTTAACTCGCTATGTCGATCCACTCCTGGATGGTTGGCTCATACATCACTCAGCGACTCCTCGTGCCCGTGCCGTGGGCGCGTGCTGAGAGCAGTGCCCGCTCACCACCGCGCCACCACTCGGTAACCCATTGACGCGATGCACATTGAGCCGGACAGGTGCCTCTCGTTGCGTGCACTCACCGTGGCGTCGTGACGTGGCAGCGCAGGTGAAGTGAGCGAACCAGATGGCTCGGGGGAGAGGCGGTTGCACGTACAATGGGACGTCTAACAATAGTGCACCGTTGTGTAGAGAGAGAAGACACGGACGGATGGAGATCATTAGAGTAATCAGGATGTATTTTGATTCGTAAGTGAATGGATGGAGTGGAGGAGCGGTGGCGAAGCGGTTAGCACACTTGCGCTACAAACCTGGCAACCCGAGTTCCTATGCCGGACGAGCGACATATGAACGTGTCTGTTCCGCCCCACTTCGCCTAACCCGCGCTACTGACCAGTGTGGTGAAGTATGGTCAAACATCCCCCCGATGACAAACACTCCGTGGTGGGGCCTTCATCCATCATCCATTAGATGTGGGTAGGGGGGGGAGAGGCGAGACCCCCACCCATACAGAATCGCCACTGACACATTAATCATCACGTGTCAGTAAACCCTTACACGCTCATTGCGGCACGGGGCGATGGGTTCATTCGGCGCGTGTTAAAGCATTGATCAAGGAAGCTTAGAGGTTTTGTGTGCGCTGTTATTGTCTCGTATTTGCAATGGAGTACATCTACAGAGTGTAACTCAGTATCACTCGTGAGGATTTAAATCCTCACCTCATCCTTGAGCGGCGATCAGTTGCGCAACTGCTCGCAACTGGTTGCAGAGACATCCGCACGCAAGCGATTAGAGTCGATTGCAACCGAGTCGCTTCGGGTGTGACTCTCCGAGCTGCCGGTTGGCAGCCCTGTGTCGATCCACTGCTGGATGAAGGCCTCCCTCCCCGCACCTTGGGACTTGCTCGGCAGTACCTCGCCACGTTGCACAGTGCGGGCTGGTGGCATGCTGCTGGTTCACACCGATGTTAGCCTCAGTCAGGATGCGAACTCGGAGAGGTCAGGTCCATTGCGGTGCGCTAACCATTGCACCACCGCTCGACCACGCAAGTGCCCATAGCATTGACTAAATAACGTGCATGAAGTCATCTTACGTTATCCTATCATTACAGACACAATGGAAGGAATTAATTATGTAGGCACGGCAGTATTAGCTTTGAAAACGTGCGGGAGATTATATGATAATCCATGCATAGATACCCCATTTAAATATTATACGGTGTATAGATAACTTTTTATTTCAAATTCTCCGCGTGTCTCCCACCAATGTCAACGCACTCATTCAATCGCTTTAACTCCCTCCTCTGGAAAGATACGAAGCCATCGCTTTCACACTTTCAGTCAGCTGCTGAGAAGAATGTCAGACGGGGGACGTTATAAATATATGGGGTATCTATAAATGGACCACCCCATAGCATATGCGCTACGAATGAAGGTCATGGCGCGAAACGTCGGACCACGATGTTACCGAACGAACGTCTCTAGTTGTTTTATATATGTCATTTGTACTTATGCACAACAGCAAGCAGCAGTACCACCGCATTAATCACTTAATATTAATAAATAAATCGGCGCGAGTCGGAATCAATCACGGAGTCACACACCCCTTTTTTAGGGGGCGGCGGGCGGGGTTAGAAAACGGAACGCTCTCAAATAGATGAGGGCAAGTGAAGGTTCGTTTACATCATTAGGGATACAATACGCCCAACGTGTAAATGGCATTCCGGGGAGCCTAATGTTCGTCTTCGGGGTCAGGCAGAAACAAATGCCCAATTCACGACCTCGGAGTCTTGGTTCAGGTGGAGGAGCCGAGATTCGTTGCGACCGGAGCCCAACAGCAGTAGCGACAGTGATCGTCTGTGCCCTCGCTCGCCCATTATTCCACCCCTCCACCCCCCCGAGCTCGCTCTCACGTTCCCGGTAGTTGACGTCAGCGGAGGGTTTTTTTTCCTCTCTTCTTCTTCTTCAAAAAAAAAATCCCCTAAAGTCCCGGTTAAAAAGGGTTGAGCGGAAACGTTATCAATCACGCAGCACGCGGACCCCCCCCCCCCCCGCCGCCTTCTCTCGCTGCGCCGCTGTAGATTTCCACACGATGAGCCAATTTGTTGAGCTATCATTTGTGGCCAGGTCGCTTCTGAAAAAAATATAAGTTAATATCACAGTGGGCTTCACCTGGTAAGATAGTTTTTTATTTCGTTTTATTTGTATATTTTCAAGTGATTTGTTTACCTTCAATATACTCTGCACCTCCCATCGTGTTGTTGTGTTGTTTGTTGTTGTAACGTTCTAACCCGCCCCTACTGGAACATCTGTGAAAACGAGATTTACTGCTTATCGGATTCCCCCAGTCTAAATAAAGATGCTGATTCTGATCCACACACACACACAACACCGGCTCGACTCCAAAACCCGGCCAGGGCACACCAACTAATGCCCACATCGCGAACACTCGCGCGCTTAAACTGCTGTGCGCGTTCATCAGTGAGATGCATCTGCAAAAGCCTCGCTCCATTTTGATGTAATCACAGCGAATTATAACGTCGCAGGGATTTGCACATTCTGGAAAGTGACATTGTTCGATGACCATGCGGACTCTTTGTATTGCGTATTAGCGAGCTGCCTGCCTTGACAGAAGGAAACCAGCCACTGTGGGTCTCGTATTGAAGGTTGGGTTTGCGCTTTCTGCCGACTAATTGACGCCTACTCATTTCCTTTTCGGTTGGAGCGGTGGCGCAGTGGTTTAGCGCTCTGCGCCATGAACGTCGTCAATTTGCCCTCGGTAATAATTTACAGCGGCATTATCAACCCACTGCTGGATGAAGGCCTCCCGCACGTGTGTCGTTCATGGGAGTTGTTCGACCATACTTCACCCACGCTGCTCAGCGAGACTTTGTGAAAAACGGGAGTCGGCGGAGCCCATCACGACTCACTCAGTTATAACTCGCCACTGATGTTAGCCGTGACCGATAATCGAACTTAGGTTGCCCGGTTCGTTGTGGCACAGTGCGCCAACCGTTGCGCCACCACTCCGTATTCTTCCGATGAAAATACACTCTTGGAATGTAAAACGCACTCCAAACTTGTGCCCACCGTATCGGTGGTTTATATATATATATCTATAACGAATTATAAGACGCACTTCCAAAGGTTACTTGAAAATAAATAGCAACGGCCATATGTCAATTAACTCGGGCACAAAGCAGCGTTGCTGGAAACAAATACAATAAATAGTTGGTGCTGAGCCGTTATATGGAGGTGCGGGTCGTTGGCCGCATGTGAGAGTTTGCATTGCTCGGCTTAAGAATGGCAGTGTTGTAAATTCCCATTGAGCCTATAAGGTTTACAGCCAGGACTCATTGGCCTGGTGGCCTGGGCGATTGTGTGTCACACACACACACGGACAGACACACACACACACAAGCGGGCCCTCAATGAATTCATTTAAAACGTGACTCTTGAAAAAATAAGCTAACACCTCCTTAGGCCCATTAGCAGCAACCCCCAATCACTTAGACAGGAAATGGCTGCACGAGACGCATTCTAAACACTCGGCAGCCACCGACCACCTCGAGATGAAACACGAAAAGCAGAGCCTCGGTGGACCAGGAGGATCGCGTGGCTGACCGAGGGCAGCCTTTTGTCTTGCCAGGGTTCCCATGTGACCCGGGTTTGGAGAAGGATCCCCACCCACTCCGTCTCTCGGAGAACTCCCCGCATCTGCGGGAGACTTCGCGATCGTGAAACCCCCCTTTTGAGTCTGTTTTACTTTTATAATCGGGTCTTTAAAAAAACTCGCCTATTTGTACAACGGGGTTTTCCCTGTAACTTAAGATTTGACAACTAAATTTGTAGCCTAATTGGATTACTATGTGATTATTATTAATTACAGAGTATTATTATTCGCTTTTATCGCAGCGCCTCATTTTTTTTGAATTTCTAGAGTAGTTATTGACATCGTTATTATCAGCTTTCTATCTCGCCTAGATTGTATCTATAACTTGTGAGCGAAGTTTTATTTTTATGCACGGCGCTTTGAGATTCTTCAATGTGAAAGGCGCTTTACAAAATATAGGCTATTATTAGAATCTCCCTGAAGCTGAGAGTGGTACCGTGCATTCCGGATTTTAAGACGCACCGCTCACCCTGCGTTCTCAAAACAAAAGTGATGGGACCGCGTCTTCGAATCCGGTAGCTACGTGCGCGCGCGTCTTAGAAACCCGGTGAATTCGGCAGCCGGGAGGCGCCGTGGCTTGAGCCGTGGAAGCGCTGGCGGCGCCGTGAGAGGGTGACGCTCTCGGAGTCGGCCAGCAGACCGCTCCCGCACGCGGGCAATGCGCCCCGCACGGCAAGAGATCGACGGGGAAAGCTCACCCGCTGAAAGCGAGCAAAGGGGTGAGCAGCGGCGGAGATTTCACGACTGTCCACCCGAGCGGTAATTCCACATTACCGTGGCGAGCACCAGTATCTCTATAATCCTTTTGCACAGCGGCGCAATAACGTAGGGGTGCTGGTGGGGGAGGGGGGTGGTCGTGGTTAGCGCAGCACGCTATCAACCTGACGATCACAGAGTTCGATTCCAGGCTACGGCTAAGCGTCACTGGCGAGTCGTGGGTCTCCACATTCACCAACCAGCGCTACTGACCAGCGTGGTGAAGTATGGTCGAACAATCCTCCCGACTGACGCGGCTTTGCATGCAATAAAAGCAACTCCCTGTACTATATATATGTGTAATCACCACGACTTCACCATTGTATCATTCGAATACCGAACGTGATTATGAACCGTTGCATAGTGAGTGTGTCTTGTGTGCACCTTTAGTTTGTAGTCCTTCCCCGCAGCTCCGGATTTGCACGGTTGACTAACGTACGGTGCGAAAGAAGTTCAACACACATACACACATACAAGGACCTCCCAATAGTCAACTGTAGAGGCTCCTCGCGGGCCCTGGGCGCGTGCCACGGGGCGCGAGTGTCATCACTGCGCGGAGCGGTGGGAGTTGGTGGTGGTGGTGATGGCAGTGAGGGTGGGTGGGAGAGCTTGTTGTGGTTGTTGTGGTTGTGGTTGTTGTGGTTGGGAGGGGTGGAGGGGTCTGCCCGCTGTAGTGGGGAGCGGTAGCGCAGCGGTCAGCGCTACTCTGCGCTACGAACCCGGCGACCCGAGTTCGATTCTCGCTCGCGGCCAACACCAGTGACGATTATCTGAACCGGTCCGGGGCCTCCCCTAGGTCGACTCAGTCTCAAAAGAGTACCTGGTGCGGTGTGTAAACATCGACCACGAGGGAGACAAAGGCGGACGGGGGTAGTGCTGGCCACCCACCCCTTGATGTAGCGTCCCGGCCTTCCTAGGTGCACTTGCCCCAACATTCTGTTAAAGGCTAAACGGGGGATCTTTGTCTTTGCGGTTTGGGGGTTGGGGGTGGGGTGGAGGGATGGGGTAGGGATCCGCGGGCAGACGGGGTAGGGGTACTCTAGGGGGGGGGGGGTTGCTATAGGGGTGCTGCAGCCGGCACGGGCACTTTAGTTGGATGTAAGCGCGGCGAGCGAGAGAGCGAGCGAGGAGTGGCGCGCCGCGTCTCAGCAGCAGCCGCAGAGCCAGCGGAGGAGAGCCTCGCAGGTCCCACGTGCCGTCACCTCGTTCCTGCGCACGGTGAGTGAGCGGGCTAGCCAGCGAGAGACGGCGGCTTCTCTTAGCTCTTCGAAGTTTGTTCTCACGTCGAGACGAACGTGATAATGATGATGATAATGTGAATAATAAGGGATGAGAACGCGTCCCAGAGTGCACGTCCACCGTAGGCGATGGAGAGATTGAAGTCGGTGCGCGTGTCGCTGCCCGGTGGATTATTGTGCGTCGCACGATCGTGACAGATAGCGACGGCTTCGGGAGGCCTTCATCCAGCAGTGGAATGATCATGGCTCGTGATGATGATGATAATGACGAGCAATGTATGCAGGTATGTTATCTATCCATTGCTGAATGAAGGCATCCCCACGTAGTGTCTGTGATCGAGGAATTGTGGAACCATTCTTCACGACGCTGGGTTGGCAGAGTCCGGCACGACCGCTTTCTGATGTCGGCCGTGGCCAGGACTAGAACTTAGGTGGTGGTTGTTGGGTTTTTTTTAGTCCGCAATTTCGCGAGTAGAAACTCTTTAACGAAGCGCACGTGCAGATGCCGCGTCTCGCCCCGCACGCGCGCGCAGGGCGGCTTGTGTCCCGGTCACCGCGGTGATGCGCATCGCAAGAGTATCGCATATCTAAGAGGAGCTAACCTTAATGGGGCAAGTGGCCGCGGTATTTCCTACATTACAAACCTTTGATTTTGACTTTGGCCTCAAGGTACAGACGGGGTGGTTTTTTTTTCGCCCCCACTTCCCTCCGCAATCTAATGTTGTATCATTTTCTGCCTTGACCCGTGATCTGCATGCTGCATGCACGGCGGTGCGGTAACTCCGCTCTGGTCAAACCACTGCTGAATGTGGATGTCGTCGCCGTCCCCTCCCTCCCCCCATGTGCTCGCGTGGGTCCCGTGGGTAATTATTTGACCATACTTCACCACGCTGGGCAGTGCCTGTTGGTTGAATGGAAGAAGGGAGCGATAGCAGGATCAGTTCTGATCTCACGAGCCACCGATGCGAGCCGTGGCCAGGATTCAAACTCAGGTTGGCGCGTGGTTCATAGCGCAGTGTCCTGACCGTAGCGCTATATTCACTCTGCGATGTCAATCCATTCCGAGGGGGGGGGGCGGGGGGCAGTTGACCATACTTTCACACCAGGCTTGATTCTGATGTCTCTCGTCACTGACGTGAGCCGTGGCTGGGAATCCAACTGGGGTTTGGTCCATGGCACGCTGGCGCCCTCGCTACCACTGCCACGACAGGGCCGTTATCAAACACCTATGGCGCACGAGGGGGGTGGGGTGACCAGCCACACGCCCGGCCGCCTTTGTCTCCCCCGCGATGTGCAAAGCATCGCGACATCTTGAGGCTTGAGTCAACCCAAGGACCGGTTCGGGTGTTAGCGCGCGCCCACGTGCTACGCCAACCGCGACTTCACCACCGCCGCTGGCCACAAACACGCGTTTAGTTTTCAAAACAGGGCGCAATGATGCACGTAATGGATGGTTCTTTTGTGCGTGTTTAGTTTGTTCTCCTTCTCCCCGCACATCCGATTATCGCGGTTGGCTACGTACGGTGCGAAAGAAGTTCAGCATACGGTGCATACATATCGCCGGTGCGGCTGTGTCCGGTGCTGTCCGGGAATCGCACGCACAGCGGATGAGTTTGTGTGACTCGTGAACGCAGCGGCACCCGTGGCTCGCTGTAACAGCTCGCGGTCTCTGTGTCTGTGCGTGAGTGCCTCGTCCTTGCTCTTGATATCGCTCAACAGCTGTCTGCATGAAATGCTCCCAGCTTGCGCATCCAATTGTTGAAATGGCTCACGTAGCTAATGTTCCCAGTCAACGCACACGTCCCAGCTATCCAGCGTGCCTTCACAGCAGCCTGGTAATGCGAATTCAACAAACACGTGCCGCGCGCATCGTACAAACACCGCCGCTAATTGCCCCCAGTAACGAAAACCACCCACGAGTCTTAACTCTCTGTATAACATACTCCACCCCTTACAATCATCATCATCATCACCATCGCCATCGTCATTATCATCGTCAGCCATGTTCTATCCACCGCTGGATCAACGTATCCCCGAAAGCCACCGCGAGCTCTCAACTCGTGACCTTACGAGATGCAACACATTCTCTGGGGCACCCACGCTCGACAGCTGATGTTATCGCTTCCGTTCCCCGCGGCGGATGAACGGTGGTCTTCTAGAGTCTAGAGCGAAGTTTGTGGTCGTAGCGGCAACGTCACCGGTGACTTTATTGGGCTGTCTCGTGGACTCCATCGCACGACGTCGATATGATCGGATAATGTATAGGGAAATGCGTAGGTTTTGAAGTCGCGGTTGTCATACGCTGTGAGTCGTACGTATAGGTGGGTAAGGATAGGTGTGTATGTGAGTAGAGGCAAGTATAGTTGCATGGGTATTGGTGAGCACTGGTTTGTGAGTATAAGTGAGTGTGGGGAGCGGTTGTGTAGCTGTCAGCGTACTGCGCTGCGAACCCGGTGATCCGAGTTCGATTCCCGCTCACGGCCAACACCAGTGACGATTATCTGAACCGGCCATGGGCCTCCCCTAGTTCGACTCAGCCTCAAATGAGTACCTGGTGCGGTGTGTAAATATCGCCACTGGGGAGACAAAGGCGGCCGGGCGTGGTGTTGGCCACCCACCCCCTCGTGTGCCGTGCCGGCCTTCATAGGTGCTGCTCGCTAAAAGCACTTGCCCCAACAGTCTCTTCAGGCTACACGGGGGATCTTTGACTTTGTAGAGGTGAGTAGAGGCGGGTGCTAATGTTAGAGGGGGTGCGCTATAAACAAGTGGGGCCAGCCATGTTACTGGCCACACTGCATCGCATTAACTCTCTGTGTGTAAATGCCTGGTAATCACATTATTTCAGTCAAACATTGACGATCATGGCTCGGTTCCCCATGTCTTTACAGCGATGTGCGTGGTCGTGTTCTTGGGGTTTCAGTGAGGATCATTATTTTTATTACCACGCGGAGAGGACCCGTCACTCGACAGCTGCATGTCATTGTCATACTCGTTTTACAATCCTCGACTCGGAGCACCAAAAGCAATGTGCTCGTTAACGTAATATAATGGCAAGAAAAATACGTATCGTGAGGTTTAAAAAAAATATTCTCTAGGATTGAAAGAATATTAAGGCGAAATAATTACGTTAATCGAAGCCGCGAATTGAAAAGTTGGAGCAAATTCTTGTTTTACGGCACGTGACACAGTGTTCGATATCCGTGACATCCCGCATCTCCAGTGGCGCTCTCTATTGCAACATCGTCCACCGTTTCAACTCGGTTGAGTGTTTGCTACACAGAACATCCCGAATAGCAAGTTAGCCAGCTAGCTTCGGTGGCAACGGCCCTCTCCGCAACCACTAACTAGAGAGTTATTGTTGCGGTGGAGAGGAGCCGAGCCAGCAGACAGGCAGGTAACTCGCGACACAGATTATTATTATTATAACAATTGTATCATTGGCTGAGAGTCAACGCGGCGTTCATTCAGAGCAAAGCACGCCGCTCACCAAGTACCCCTCGTCCTCCTCAGACATGTTCAATCCACTGCTGGATGAAGGCCTTCCGAAGCCATATCCCTCACCGTCGGTACTGCAATGCTGCATTTGAGCTGAGCCTGCTTAATATTGCGTGAAAATAATAATAATAAATAAGCGTGTTTCCACGCAGACAATGAGGTTGACGTTTCGAGCGACCGGCCTTCTGCATAATGGAAACATGAATCAATCAATTCATTAGGCGGTGATACTTTGTTGGTAGTAGTGGTCCACAAGTACGAAAATCAACAACAATAATAACAACAAACGCGTCAATAACGTTGCCTTAATACTTCCATGTGCTATGGCAGTGGTCACTGCATCGCGTGCTTTCAGATGCACGTCTGCGGCCGTCTGGAACGCTCTTCCTTCCGATATACGGAATCCACTAGAGCTATGCACTTTTAAATCTAGATTGAAAACACATTTTTTTACTACTGCTTTTTATTTTTAGTGTGTTGGACTTCTCCCTGTACCTCCGATTAGCACGGATGTCTACGTACGGTGCAAAAGAAGTTCAACATACATTAGGAGAAGAATTGCCCGAAACGTTGACTAGTTTTTTTCCTTTTAAGGTCACAGTTTTTGTGTGTGTGAAAAATATGAGCGCTGCCTCTTCGTCCGTTTCCTTCATAAATGTTCAACACCGAGGGCACAAAGATGTATTAGATTCGCTCCCTAACACTCCTGAGACGGTGTTATTCGCTAGCAACTCAAACGCCTCTGGCATGCTTGTATATTGCCCGGAGATCAGTCATCCGAAAAGTCAATATCTGTTCAGTTGAAAGGAAATGCGCATGTTTTTTCTTCCTCTTTGTACCATTAACTGTGGTGTGATCACTGATGCGGCCCCTTCGACACGCAGCTTAGCGTGTAGTATGCGTGGTATAGCAGTGCACGTGTGGATAACACGCGCGACCCGCACGGATGATTGTCAGCTGGTAGTTACACTGAGATTTACCAACACGCAAAGGTCTACGTAATAGCTTTGCAACGTGCAAAAAGCTCTCAGCCTTATACAAACCACCAGCTCCAAAAGAACTGAATGTGTGGCTAAGAGCAGCTTTTAAATGTGGAGGGAAAAAAACAGAGGACCAGGAGAAAAATCGACACTACCACGGGGAGAACATGCACACTCCAAATATACAGGCGTCAGGGTCGGGGAATCGAATCCACGACCTCCTGTATAGAAGGCGAGGTAGTTAACATCTCGCCACCGCGGCACCCCTATTAGCGAATGCTGACACAGCGGTGTAATGGTAAGCAGCGCACGCGACTTGCAATACAGAGGTCACCGGTTCAATGCGATCTCCCGCGGCGGACGCGAAAACAATGCGTAGATATCTGAATCCACTTCCCCGACTCAATCCCCACTTCTCTTCCACCCAGCATGCAGTCTGAATGGCTCCACCGCCACAGTTAAGAGCACGGTTAGACGATGGGCAGGTCTCGTGCTGTGCGGTAGA